GATTCATTTCAATCATTCAATAAATCTTTATTGAGCTTCTACTATATGAGGATACAATGTTCTAAACCGATAAAGTCTTTTTTGGGGGAGGGACAAGAGTCTCATTCTGTCACCCAGGCTAGAGTGCTGTGGCATCAGCCTAGCGCAGAGCAACCTCAAACTCCTGGGATCAAGCAATCCTCCTGTCTCAGCCTCCCGAGTAGCTGGGACTACAGAGATGTGCCACCATGCCTGGCTAACTTCCATTTTTAGTAGAGACATGGACTCCCTCTTGCTCAGGCTGGCCTTGAACTCCTCACCTCAAGAGATCCTCCCCACCTCAGCCTCCCTGAGTGCTAGAATTACAGGTGTGAGCCAACAGGCCTAGCAAAACAGATAAAGTCTTGCCCTCAGAATTTATATCATTGGTTATAATGTATGAAGACAGGCCTAAAGGAAACAAAGGAGGGCCGGGCTTTGGTGGCTCAAGCCTGTAATCCTAGCACTCTGGAAGGCAGAGGCGGGTGGATCATCTGAGCTCTGGAGTTCGAGACCAGCCTCAGCAAGAGCGAGACCCTGTCTTTACTAAAAAAAAAGAAATTAGCTGGACAATGCAAAAATAAATAGTATTAAAGTAAAAAAGGAGGGCCAGGCGTGGTGGCTCACGCCTGTAATCCTTACACTCTGGGAGGCCAAGGCGGGAGGATTGCTCAAGGTCAGAAGTTCAAGACCAGCCTGAACAAGAGCGAGACACTAAAAATAGAAATTAACTGGCCAACTAAAAATATATAGAAAAAAATTAGCTGGGCATGGTGGCGCATGTCTGTAGTCCCAGCTACTCAGGAGGATGAGGCAGTAGGAGTGCTTGAGCCCAGGAGTCTGAGGTTGGTGAGCTAGGCTGGAGCCATGGCACTCTAGCCCCGGGCAACAGAGTGAGACTGTCTCAAAAAAAAAAAAAAAAAAAATTAAATAAAGGAGGCTGCCCTGAAGATTTCTGGGAGAAAAAGAATTCCTGACTATCTGACTATGATTGTAAAGGCCCTCAAGGTCTGTTCTTGGTATGTTTGAGGACTGACAGGAAGGCTGGGGTGTTATAGCAGAATATGTAAGTGAGAAAATAGATTAGGTCAGAGGAGGAACAGATAATAAAGGACTGTGATTAAGGGCTCTGGCTTTTACTTTAGGGAAACTGGAAAATTTGAACAGAGGAATGAAGGAGTGGCATTACTCTGGCTGCAATATGGAAATTATACTAAAATAGGAGTAAGGGTGGAAGCAAGGACACAAGAGGCAATAATCCTCTAGTAGATCAGATCACGTGATGGTCAAAGGATCAGATTTAGGAGAGGTTTTGAAGAGTAGATGGGATTTGTTGATGGGATTAGTTAGATAGGGTGGCTTAAGAGAGGAGTCAAGGAGTACTGAAAGGTTTTTTGGCCTGAACCAAAGGAAGAGAGATTGCCATTTACAGGTTTGGAATGAGCATGGGAGGAATAGATTCATGATGGAATATAAGGAGTTCAGTTTGCCATATTAAATAGAGATACGTATTGCAAATTTAAATACAGATGTTGAATAGGCAGACTTCAGAGTCTGCCAGAGACTGTTTTCCAGACTTCAGAGAGGTCTGGGTTAGAGATACAAGTTTGCCAGTTTTTGGTATATAGATGGCATTTAAATCACAGGAATAAGTCTAGAAAAAAGTATGGATGGATGAAGGTCCAGAACTGAACCCTTGATAAACTTCATTAGTTAGACATTTCTATCACATACATAGTATTCTTATAACAACTGGTTTAATTCTTAAAGCTATCACTTATTATGTCAGCCGTTTCTAAGGTCATCAAGAGCATCAATAAGGCACAGCAATGAACTAAAAAGATTCTGTCCCACAGGTCCCTCAAAAGAGAAAGAACATTTACCATTACAGGAATACTAGGAACTCAAAACATCCCCAAACATAGATGTTGTGCTGGCTAGTGGTCAAGTGCATAGATATATAAATTCAGGCTATCAGGATTTTAATTCTGATTCTTACACTTATCTTTGTGACCTAGGACAAGACACTGTACCATTTACTCAGTAGTAAGTTGGTGATAAGTTATTGGGTTGTTGTAAATGAATTAATACCCGAACTTTGGTGCTCAAAAAGTTGGCTATCTTACTATTATTGATACTAAGTTGTTGGAAAGAAGTCGAGAGTGGAAGACTCTGCCGCTAATCACACTAATGTTCCAAGTCTCTCATCCAAGGGCTTGTAGCTCTGTTCAGATTTCAAAACGAAACCAAGACATGTTCCTAAATGCAATTCTCTTAACTAAGGCTTGCAGCTCCGAGTCTGAATTTTAAAACAAAGCCAAAACACAATCTCAAATTCCTTAAAATCCAAAAAATTCTTTGGAGGCAGGGAAGGAAAAAGGAAGCAACCAGCTAGTCCTAGTTCACACATTAGAGTAAACAAGTCTGGTAACAAAGTCCACCTGTGACACAGACTACCAAGCCCAAATCCCCTTTAAACAGTTATTTGATTTTCTTCTACTCTCTCCTCTAGAGAATGTCTATGAATGTGCTTTTAAAAGCAGAAAACCAAGCTTTTAAATTAATCATAGTATATAAAGCAAAGAGCTGAGAATCCAACTCTATGGCAGCAACAGGAGAAAACTTCTCCAGAAGAGTCACCACTTATTCTTTTTTACCCTACTACTCAAGAGCACCGTGGGGTCAATCTCCTCTCGAGTGGGTGATGGGGAAACAGCGACCTTCCCTCATCTGGCCCCCATCCAGTCCTTTGGCAGTAAAGAGCCGGCACACGGCAGCTAGCCTCCCTCTCTCCCCCTCCTTTAGCCAGGATCCGGGGCCCGGACAGGGAGCCCCAGGTTCCAGCCTTTGGTCACCTGGCTAGAGAAGACACCGGAGAACAAACAATAGAGCCGTGGCGGCCGCCGTACCTCTCCCGGTCGCGACCGTCGAAGTAGACGAAATCGCCGTTCTGGACGCACTTGGCGCAGGTCAGCCGGCGGCGAGTGGTGTTACACAGCGGACAGCGCTCGACAGCCACGTACAGCCCCTCCGCATCGTCCACGGAGTCCACCAGGTCCCGGGAGAGTGGCTGAGGCCCGCAGCCAGGAGCCTCCGGCGCCCGGGATCCCTTCCCACTGGGAGACGCCATGATGGCCTGAGAGCAGAGCCAGTCACGTGGGATTTTGTTTTTAACCAGGTGCATTCTGGGCAAGGAGGAGGGGCTTGGGGCGGGGCCGGAGGAGGCCGAGGATCCAGACCAACCCCTAGCCCAGCCTCCCGGAGCTCTCTGCGGCGGCGGGAGACCGTTCCCCGCGCGGTCGCTCTTCGTGTCTGCTGAGGGGCTGCTGGTCCGGAAGGAGGGAAAATTATTAGAGGGGCAAGTCCAACAAACAAAATGTCATCTGCTGGATCAGGCCCAGGACATGAGTTAAAGCCTTAAAGTTGTGCAAAATATAGTAATACCACGCCTTAAGGGTTCTGGGAAAAAACGTAATGGTAACAGAATCAGGGAAGGTATTTAATTCGCTGTGGGGTGCTTTTAAATTTCTACGACAAAGTTGGGTGGGGCTGGGGCTTGGAACTAGGTTGAGTTTTGGCCCACCCGCCTACTTAATAGCTGTGTGCCTTGGGACAAGTCCTTAACCTCCCTGTGCCTATTTTCTCAAGTTAAATGGATATAATTGCAGTACCTACCTACTGCGGTGAGGATAAGTAAATGCGTTTGACAGTATTCTGATAATACCTTGCCAATAAGTAACCAGCGAAAAACATACAAAATCAAAGTTGTAGCTTTCTGAAAAGTTAATTTTAATTAAGTGGTCAACCATCCTTCTCTACCCTGGGCCATGATCTAAGAAAACCTGGACGACACAGATGGTTAGGATGTCCCTTCAAGTTTCTTGGGGGGGGGCCGCGATGAACAAGGGGATGGATCAGGAAGAGTATCGGTAATCTGCGTTTGAATGTATCTCTAAACCAGGGAGTCCCCAGCCTCTGCCGAGTTGCATAATCATTTCCTTATATATTAGAATGTAATAGAAATAAAGTGCACAAAAAATGTAATGCGCTTGAATCATCCCAAACCCCCACCCCACCCCTGTGGAAAGATTGTCTTCCATGAAAATCGTCCCTGGTGCCAAAAAAGGTTGGGGACCGCTAAACTACAGAAGGAAAAGACGAAAAGTGGGTTTGTGTGTAGGTCAAATCATCTAGACTGATGATTCTCAAGGATTATTTCAGCAGGCTATCCATTGATTATTGTCCTGAATAGACTCTCTAACCAAATTTTGATTTCCAAACCCCAAAGTTAGAACTGCCTACTAGGTATCAAGTGATGTTCCGCCACTGCAAACTCAGCATGTCAGAAACTGAACTGTACCTCCCCCATAAACCCGATTCCTACCTTGGTGAAGGACATAATCATTGACCACTGGGGGCCAAAAGCCATGAGTTATGTTAGCCGCCGCCCCCCCCCATTAAACTCCACACATCAAATGCTGATGATTCTACAACCTAATTAGGTCTTCATTCTGAGTCCTTTGTTCCTCCATCTTGTTGGCCTTACCTGTTTCATTTTAATACAATTATATAGGATTATAAAAGTAAGCAAAAGCAAAAAATTCCCTATGTTTTCAGAATAGAGTTTACACTCTACTTGAATGGTTCCTGAAATTTTAAGATTTGTAAGTGAGAACTCTTTCTGATCATTTCAAAAGGATTGTTTTAAGGTTTTAGTTTTTTAATGTTTCATTCTTCACAGTGCCTGTTACCTAATGGTCAGGATCATCTGTTCAGTATTTTAAAAGGCCAAAAACAGACATTTACTTCTATCCTGCTAGATGATGATATCACAGATAGCTTCAAATAACTACATAAACTAGATACTTTCAAAGAACATATGTTATTTAAGAACAGAGCCTTAAGTTTAAATGATGCTATTGTATCATTCCAGCAAGGCTCTAAATCTCTTCTGAAATAAGTTTTTTGATCAGTTTTTTAAATAACATACAAGAGTCATTTTGAGTAAGAAGTTTTCTTCATTTCTTAGACATACTTACACAGAATTATCCTTTAACAAAGATATACTTGTAACATCTACAATTAAAGGTAGAAGAATCCAGCTGTTTGTGCTGGGCTTATACACATATTTCAAACCAGTATGATGTGAGGTGTCAAATGATACACTCAGGCTTTTCTAAAACCTTTTAGAATAGGATAGATGTTTTCAAATGCTTCATAGATCTCAGAACGTTCTTTGGCACCTATAAAGAAATCCAAGTTTATATGATCTTTACTATAAAAACAATACCAAAATTTTCTTAACACTAAAATTTCGTTGTGTCATCTCCAATTACTTTTAATATGATGAGATGTCTTTAGCTTACTTGAGAAGTTTATTCTGGGTAAAGAATTTGGCAACTAAAGCCACATTCCCACAAAACATATACTCTTCCAGCAGAGTTTTTAGAACTTCCACTCTGTGGGTGTGGTCTTTAGACACACAGTGCTCAGTGTGAAATATGGAATGTTATCTGTAAATATGCCACAACTATGACCGCAGAGTAAACATTACACGTGGGCACTTAGCTACCAGCTAAGGGGGACTTCCCCTGATCTATTCATCTCTAGTTAACATCTTGGTTCCCTAAATATTAACCAACAGATTGAGGCAAACTGGAGCTATTCTAGAGTTTTAAATTTCAGTGCGGGGGGAGGGATTATTAGAAAGAAAATTTGGGCTAGGCATGATTTGGGCTAGGCATGGTGGCTCACGCCTGTAATCCTAGCACTATGGGAGGCCAAGGCGGGTGTATCGTTTGAGCTCAGGAGTTCGAGACCAGCCTCAGCAAGAGCGAGACCCTGTCTCTGCCAAAAATAGAAAAAATTAGCCGGGCAGGGTGGCGCATGCCTATAGTCTCAGCTACTCAGAAGCCTGAGGCAGAAGGATCGCTTGAGCCCAGGAGTTTGACGTTGTGAGCTAGGCTGATACCACAGCACTCTAGCCTGGGCAACAGAGTGTGACTCTGTCTCAAAAAAAAAAAAAGGAAAAATTGTATCACTATCTCTCAGTGTCCTAGGTTCCAGGAGATCTTTAATCATAATGTAACTGCTTTAGGAATTATAGGGATTTAAAAAAAAAAAACAACCATGAATTAGGGGTCACACCTATAGTGCCAGCACTTTGGGAAGCAGAAAGATCACTTGACTCCAGGAGTTCGAGACCTGAGCAACATATTCAGACCCCCATCTCCACTGAAAATAGTTTAAGAATTAGCCAGGTGCAATAGTGTGCGCCTGTAGTGCCAGCTACTCGAGAGGCTGAGGTGGGAGGATCAATTAAGCCCAGGAGGTCAAAGTTGCATTGAGCTACATTAGCACCACTGCATTCCAGCCTGGGCAACAAAGCAAGACCCTATATCAAAAAACAAAAACCCCCAGAAAATATGAATTAGATACAGTCTACACCCTTGAGAAATATTGGTCCTTATTCATCTCAACCACCACCAATACCACCCCCATCTTTACCTCCACCTTCAAAGTACACAGGCACATCATGCTAAGGGTTATGGACTAGAACTGATTATTTTATGGAGCTTCAGATCATCAGGACACTCTTATCTGATTTTTTTGTGGGGTGGAGGCAAGGAAAGGAGGAGGTTAATGAAAGGAATATAAAAACTGTTAGCATGAAGAGAAATGGAAAATACCTAAGATGATAAAGACTCTTCCTTAAGAGCTAAAGTTGGGGAAGAGGAAGGCTGCAGTAATAGAGCAGAAATAATCTGAGAAGTGGTTATCTGGTTTAATTACAGGACAAATGAGAAGAAATTACCAGAAGAGGTACAACAGGTTTGAGAAGCCGGTAGAAATTAGGACCAGTACTTTGGGATGCTAGTAGGAAGATTGCTTCACAGCAGGAGTTCAAGACCAGCCTGGCAACATAGCAGGACCCTGTCTCTACAAAAAAATAAAGAATTAAAGATGAGGTTTTTTAAAATAAGGAAAATAAGTGATAGCAAGAATGCGGAGAAATTAGAAGGGTCAGACATTATTGGTGGGAATGTAAAATGGTTCAGCTGCTGGAAAACATTTTGGTGGTCCTTAAAGAAGTTAAAGAAGTAGCACATGATTCAGCCTATCACTTGAGGTAAATCTCTCAAAATTAAGAGATACTCAAACAACATACACTTTCATTGCAGCGCTGTTCAAATGGCCAAAAGGTGGAAACAGCCTAAATGCCCATCTGCAGATAAAAATTTATAATATATACATACATTACTCATCCATAAAAAGAAATGAGCATGTACTGACAAATGCTACAATGTATGTGGATGAACCTTAAAAACATGCTAAGTGAAAGAAGCCAGACATAAAAATCCACATATTATGATTCCATTTGTATGAAATATCCAGAATAGTTACATCTGCAGAGAGAATACAGATTGGTGGTTTTCAGGGGCTGTGGGGAGAAAGGAATGGGGACAAACTGTTTAGTAGTACAGGGTTTTATTTTGGAGCAATTGCAATGTTTTAGAACTAGGTAGAGGTCGTGGTGCATTCACAACATTGTGAATGTTCTAAATGTACTAAACTGTTCACTTTAAAATGGGTAAATTTGTTATGTGAATTCACCTCAAGTTTAAAAAGTTAAAGAATCGGCTGAGCACGATGGCTCATGCCTGTCATCCTAGCACTCTGGGAGGCTGAGGCGGGCAGATCATTCAAGGTCAGGGGTTCAAAACCAGCCTGAGCCAGAGTGAGACCCCATCTTTACGAAAGATAGAAAGAAATTAATTGGCCAACTAAAAATATATAGAAAAAAATTAGTCGGGCATGGTGGCACGTGCCCGTAGTCCCAGCTACTGAGGAGGCTGAGGCAGGAGGATCACTTGAACCCAAGAGTTTGAGGTTGCTGTGAGCTAGGCTGATGCCACAGTACTCTAGCCTAGGCAACAGAGTGAGACTCTGTCTCAAAATAAAATAAAATAAAATGTTAAAGAATCAAAGGTAAAGTCCTTATATGCTTAATTTTTTTTAAGAGATAAGGGTGAAAAGTTACTTATTCACAGCCAAGGAGTTTACTATCTGTGGGTCTCCACCCACAAGGATGGGGCGTGGGGAGGAGGGTGGGTTACTGACTTAGATAAGAGAGACTAACTTTTCAGGTAGGAAAAAACCCTTAAGTCTCAGCAGATTTTAGTTATAGTGCTAAAACTTTAGTTTCTAAAAAGATTAGTTTTGTAGAAACCAAGAAGTGAGTTGGTGAAGCAATAAGACCATTATAAAGGGAGACTCCGCCTCTGGTTTTATGGACTTTTTTGGCTTCTGTATACATTTGTCTGGGACAACCTTCTTGTTAGACAGTGAAGCATAATAGGTACAGCAAACACACACCTAACCCCACCCTGAAAAAAACAAAACCAAGGTTCTTCTAACATCCGAGGAACAGTGACCAGGTACAGTATTTTACATAACCATGTACTTTACCTTTTTTCCATAGCACTTTTACATATGTAAAAAAAAATCATACATGAGAATATTGCATTCAAGCACAAAGAGCATACTATCTAGAGTCCCCTGGGGAGCAGAAAATATCCATCGCCCTAGAGGGAATGGACATTGCAAGTGATTGTTTTATATTGTAGAAAAACTATGTTAGACACAAAGGGCTTTAGGGAAATTAATAAAACTTCATTTCATAAATGGGCAAAATGAGGCCCAAGAAATTGGTATTACCTGAATCATAAAGTAGCAGCTATGTGAGAGAAGCTCAGTGTATCCAGTGCTTCCTTTACATCAAAAGTCATCAAATAAACATCGCTAGTATTTGTAGCGGGGTGTCAAAATGTGGGGATTTGGTCAATTTAATCAAACATTAGTTGCTGAAATATTAGTATCAAAACTTTAAAAGAGCCTAAACTGGCCCCATGGTTCTATTAATAAGTCAATAATGAAAAACCTTAATTTGTAGCACCAGACTCCAATTAGATGACTCTTGCCTTTTAAGCCAAACTTACCATTCCTTTTCTTCAGGCTGTAATGACCACAGCTTTGAGGAACAAACACCATTCCTCACCTTGGTAACGGAGGTGCAAATGGTGTGGCCTGGTGTACTAGAGAAAGTCTGGCTTTCAGATCACAACATGGGCTCAATGCCAGCTCTACCACTAACTAGCTTTGTTGTTTTTTTTTTTGTGTGGGGGGGGCCTTCCGGTAAGGACCGGAAGACCTGCTAGACAAATTCTAAAAGAGCTGTAACACTACTAACTTTGAAATAACAGGCAAATCAATTACTCAACCTCTTTTTTGTTTTCTTACCTGTAAAATAAGGACAATAGGCCTTCTCATAGAGTTGCAATAAGAGTTGTGTGAGCTAAGGTTTGTAGAAGTCCACAACATTTTATAAAAACCAAAGCCATTTTACTGGCATGGCTAGTCCAAGTACACACAGCTCGTGATGAATCGGTTCTGTAAGAGCTCAGTGACATGTAATCTGCCTCCTTCAGCAGGGCTGGATTCCAGTCAGTTGGGGAATGTGTTATATTCACCTTTGTATTCTCAGCACTTAACAGTACATGTACATGATAGGCATCCAAAATATGCTAAGTATCTGCTGTTTGTCAGTAAGGCTCTAAGCTCATCCCTAACCTTTAGCCAGCCAAATAACAGCCTCCAATACTACTTGGATTTTCCAATTCTGTTCTTACACCAAGTAATAACTGCACATATTATTTTCTCAAGTGATGCCACATTTGTGTGCAAATAAGTCAGCATCTTACACATTTAAAAACACATGTACCCTCAAGGTCCTCATTTTACAGCATATACAAACTTGGTATTGGGGAGGATTAACAGTGACAATTGACAGGGATGTTCTGTTGAGTCCCTGTCCTGCTTGCTCGCTAGTCAGTCTGGACATTTTCCAGCTGCCCTCTGGCTTACTCGTTTCCAAGAACCACTGACTTTGAGCTGAGAGTGGCCCTCAGTAACAACGACCCAGCTTCTTAGTCATTTACACAGGAGGGAAATAAGGAGATGTGAAGCATTTTACAAAACCCTCTTTAGACTTTACATTCCTATCATCAGGGAAAGGCATCATAACAACATTCCAGTCTTTTTCAGTGATAGAAAAAAAACCCAGGAGAGTGGGTTTCCACTGCAGTAATAGCTACTGTTGATACCATGTGCCAAGCACTTGTTTTCTGCTTCCTCACCACACTTAGGAGGTAGTTTCTATGGCCATTTGCATCTTACATATGTGGAAACCAAAGTGGAGAATTTAAACTCACCCAAGGTTATACAGCCAAAAAGTGGTAGAGCCTGGATTCAAACTGGACAACTGGCCTCCAGTCCATCCTTTTAGCCACCACACCTGCTGACTCTCACCACTAGAGTAGTGATCATTCCTTCAGCTGACAAGGAAGTAAGGTGTACAGGAGACCACACAGGTGTTTCCACAGACTTCTAAGTTGCCAGGAGACAGAGCGAGTACAGTAGGGGTGGTTCTGGGCCGGGCTGTTAACATTCCCATTGCGCTGCATCGCATACAGCTGCTTGACATTGCTAAGGTTACTGAACCTCTCCATTGTCCCTATTTTATGAGTGAGGAAACTGAGGCATAAAGTTCGACCTCAGAGTTAACTAGACACTATGTAAAAGTCCTTACTTATTTCAGCACAGTGCCTGGCACGTGAGTGCCCAACACATACGATTATGCCTGATCTTAGAAGTGAAAGTTGATGTATTTGCTGTTTGTTGTGTATGATTCCAGCATAACCTGGCTCTACTATTAATTTTACTATGGTTTGGGAAAAGAAATTGGTCCTAAGTGTCACACCAGTTACAGAAAACAAGCAGACCTGGGAAAATGGTGTAAGCTTGGTCCAAGTCCCACTGTTTTCTGCTCAGGGACTATAACTATGCAGGACAGCAGGTCCTCTTTGTCCTTAGCTCACTTAACTATAATCAGAAGGATTCAGAAGTAGGCTTAGACATGGTGGCTGCAGCTTTGGCACGTCAGGGGAATAAGGATTTCACACGGATAAATTATTTTCAAAGACTGCAAATGGCACATGATACAATGGTTTCAAATTACCGCACATTTGTACTATGAGCATTGGTGTTCTGTAGTTCCTATCCAGGCAAGAGCCAGGCTCCATTATCTTCTACAGTCAAACTCAAGTACATTTGTAATTTCAACACTTTGCCATTTTCTAGTCAAAAGTTATCCTTGTTGGGACCTTGCTTTCAGAACATCTCTGCAGAGTGCCTGGTCTTACCAGGCAGCACTAGACCATCTGGGAGCCTCTGGGACTCCATGGGACACCCAATTACAACAACTCCAGCTTCAATTTAGGGGCGAAGCTAAAAGGAGACTGCCTTGGGTCCCTTTCCCCAGGTGTGAGCCCTTGAGTTTTTAATCCCTGTGCAGGTAAAAAAGAGTCTCTAGGTACCTAAGATTAAGAAATAATGAACATTTGTCTTCTAAGGTTGAGGCAAAAGTAAAAAACCATATAAGAACTAGGCAAGGTAGTTTAAGACAATATGATATGAACAAGTAGAACCCCAACAGATTATAGTTATTCATTTCAGTGGTAAATTATGGACTTTTACTTAATATAAGCAGAATTTGAATTTCAGTTAATATATTTCATCCCTTCCTCCAGAAAAGTGATGACCCACATCTTGCAAGAATGAAGAAATTTAAATTTGCCTATTCTGTGTGTTTAGCAAAAATTAAAGGCAGTGTACTATGTGGTCTTCAGTAGTTCATGCTAGTGACAATCCTTTGCACTTGTGATATGAAAGTTCTAGCAAATGTGTACATGAAAGCTTTTAAAGCAATTTGGGGTAAATGAAAGCTGATCTGAATTAAGGATATTTAAATAAACCTATAATAGGAACGTCGCCTATACTTGGCAATTTGCACTTTTAATAAGATTGATTTGTAAAAATACATAGTTCATGTATGAAAGTATCCTTCCAAGGGTCTTGAAAAATTTGTTCCCTTAAGTAGGGTATATATTTGCCTACAATATCTCTACTATTCAATTTACTTGGCTTTACCTGCTTCCTCTAGGACATAGAGAGGTAAACTTTTTTTTTAGTCTCTAGGGGGTCTTAATTACTCTAGACTCTAAATTGGTAGCATCTAAGCAATTGTAGTTTTGCAAAGGTTCTTGGATTCCAAACAGATTCTCCCCACTTTGAAGACACATTATTTCTTAGAGAAAAGCAAACTATAGAACTCTATTGAGAGTTACAAGACTTAAGAACAGACATTTCATTCGGCTGGATGCCAATTTTTTTTTTTTTTTCCACACAGTCTTGCTCTGTTGCTCTAGGTAGAGTATAGTAGTGTCATCATAGCTCCCTGCAACCTCCAACTCCTGGGGCTCAAGTGATCCTCCTGCCTCAGCCTCCCATAGTGCTAGGATTACAGGTATGAACCACTGCACCCAGCCAACCAATCTTTCTTAATTCAATTAAAAAAAAAAACACAATTTTTTTTAGATTGAGCAAAATTTTATAGAATTCTAAAGTTTATTTGGAAGAATATTCAAGAGAAACTAAAACATGAAAAGAAACATGAAGGGAAATTGGCCTATGAGATCTAGGGACCATGAGAAAGAGCTGCAATGGGATAAATGCAATAGCATGCCATACCAACTTGGCATTCATTTTGGTAGAGAAAAGTAAAATGTGTAAAAAGTCAGACAAAACTGGACAAAAATAGCAAACTTCAGTAGAATGGCATGGAAAAGAGTTTCAACCATTCCCTCAAGAATTTTTTTAAAACCCTTTTTGTAAAAATTGGCAAAAATAAGTCAATTGGAAAAAGCCACAAATGTAGTAAGGAGTAATTATCTTTAACAGTTTTCTGGTGAACTCATACAAAAATCCCTAGGAAAAAACTTATAAAAACTAAGCAGACAAAAGGATAAGTTATTTATGCACTTTTACAAGAGATATGATGCTATTTATTGGATTTATGTTGAAAAGTGATTTCTATTTCCAATTACAAGTTAAAGCAGTGAGATAATTTTCACCTATAAAGTCTTCTTTTGTACCGTTTTAAATGCTGCTGAGGATTTGGTAAAAGATATTTAAATACACTGCTGGTAGGAACATATGATATAAGAGAACTCTACTGTACATATTTGTAAAATATTTTGGTAATCTGTACTAAGAATAAAATGGTTATGTCCTTAAAGTCTCATTTTTGAGTGTCTATGCTAATAATTCTCCACACTTAAAAAGAGCCAGATGTCTGTGCCATTTGTAAGTAGCAAACAAAAAAGAAACATTATATCTTTGACAATGGGAGAATAAATTTGATTCAATGACATCTTAGAATGGGGTCAGGAAACATAGGCCTGCTGGCCAAAGTCAGCCTGCTGCCTGTTGTTGTTAGCCTGTGAGCCAAGAATGTTTTTATTTTAAGTGGCTGGAAAAAAATATGACCTGACACATGTAAGTTATGTGAATGATACAAAATTCCCATTTCCGAGTCCCTTCCTTTGTGTAGTGTCCATAGCTTTCCCACTACAATGGCAGAGTTCAGTAGTTGCAACAGACCTTATGACCCAACAAAGCCTTAAGTATTTAGTATTTGGCCCTTTATTGAAAGGTTTGCTGAACCCCGTGTTAGAACATCGTGCAGCCATTAAAAGCCTTCATGACAGGTTTGTAGCAATGAGTTAAGCTGTATATATTTTAATGATTTTTTAAGAAGCACAATGTAAAGATGAAATACATATAAAAAACAATGACTTTTTCATATTTCTGTAATTTTAGGTATTGGGACCTAAGGGTGATGTTATATTCTTTTCATTTTTCCAGGCATTCTATAATAACAAGAATTACTTTATAACGGTGAACAAAGCTATTTAAAAGGAAAAGCAAAGTACATGTACAACTATTGAATTCTATGAAAGTTAGAAAATAATCTCAGGACTTACCTGTCAACACAACTTTTCCAGATACAAAGATAAGCAACACAATCCGTGGTTTTACCATTCTATAAATAAGGCCAGGAAACAGTTCAGGTTCATAACTGTTAAGAAATAAAAGGAAAAAGTTAAAAATAGCACTATTCAACTACTTTTCCATAACAGTCAAGACCCAGTATTTCATAGAGATTTAAAATATCAAACATCTGCCAATTTCTTGACCAACTCAACTTTAAACTCATTCTTAAAGTTTCACTTTAAGTGTCACTTCCCCCAGGGAAAGATCTCCTTGGCCTCCACCCATACCCAGTTACATTAAGTACTCTGTTTTATGGTCCCATAACCCCCTGATATCCAAAATGTGCACAGGTATCACATTTCATTATTGTCATGGACCTGTTTTTTGTTATAGCACAACTTATTTCAAATGGACAAAAATTAGTAACATTTACAGTATCTTAAGATAAATTGCCTTTGAATGGGAGCTTTCTCTCCAGTACTTTGAGGTCTATAAGATGTATCTAGAAAATTTACTATGGAAAATGAAGACAGCTTAAATTGAATGGGGTGGGGGAAGGCCTATGGTTTTTCTCTTTGGTTAATTGCTGTAACACTGTCCTTCAGGCAGCTGAAGGAGTTTCATATTTTGTTTAGACATCATTTGGTCCCAAAGTTCTTGCAGGACAACTTTGACACCGTATGAATTCTGCCATTTTGCTAGCACTGATAATGGCTCTTGGGTTCACCACTCCTTTAGAACTATTAACTCCATTCATATTAATTTTTGTTACAAATCTTACAAAGGGGGGTGGCTTCTGAGTTTTTAGGTCCACATTCTATTTTAAGGCTGAATATTTGGTTTCCGTAAATTGTTCTTGGAGGCCCAATTATCATCCCTGTCCATCTTGTAAATGTCATGTCTTCATCATCTTCTAGACCCCAGCTAACTGTGCCATTTCATGCTCCTTTCTGGCCTTCTTCGAATTCTTCCCACAGTCGTAAATTGCAAGGGTCCTTTCTTCCCGAGCGCGTGGTGGCTGCCATCTCACGTTGCTGTCACTCAAAGACTGGTTTTTCCCTTTAGACATTGACCTTTATGTGGGCAAGGGACTACGGTTACATAGCATCACACTCACATGTGCTAAATGGTGGTCACCTAGATTTTACTCATTTAACAAGTATTTGTTATCAGGATATCTTTGAATTAAAAATTGGAGGGAAGGGGGTAAAATGTACAGAAAGATTGATGGGGAAGGTGCCCAGTAACAAAATGAGATTCTTGTATCATTAGATATTGGTATACAAATTCACAGAACCTGGGGAATTAAACGAACTTGAGGTTTTAATACAAGGCAAACTTGACCTGATAGTTATAACAGTGTGAGGTGTGCTATAGTTGCCCACAGATCTACAGGCAATTAGAGAGTCCTCATGTTAAAGATTCAAACCTGCTGAGAAAGAGATGTTTTTAATGCCCCCAGTGTTGAGAACACACACATTGGAGTTGTAATCCGCAACCTGGGGGTGAAGGCTGGATGGAGAGCATGTAGAGAAGCAAGAATGAGACTAGAAATAGCCGTGGGAATGCAAAGCAAGCTTCCTGGTCAGATAAAAAAAAAAAAAATGATGGGCGAGATCACAAAATGGGCCCAGGAGGAAGACAACCGGGATGGGCCCACTTCAAGTGGCTAAAAGCAGTGCATCTGATGAATCCTCATTGTGCTCTACGGGCAATTTATCTTTCAGAAGGTAGCAGTAGTAACTCTTCCTACTCTAGACTAAAATCTGCTCTGCAAGGAAGATACTGTTGGTAAGAAATGAAGGGAAACTCAGGAGGAACTGCATGCATCATTTTAGCCCTAAATGGCCAGACAGGAGAATGCCAAGTCTCACATCAACATGTGCCTTGAAGTTCAGGCAGAGCTACTGTAAATGTTCACAATAAGTTGATTTGAAGGATGATAGGCTGGAGGCCTGAGTCTTGAGTCTGGAAGATGAGATGGCTTAAGTGTGGAGAGACTCTTAAAAATGAAGGTTTCACTATGAATCTGCAAATTATCCCAAGATTGAAGACAGACAGACACCTAAGAGGCGGTATGTCTTACATAGCAGGGAGATGTCACAGTGAGCTCAGATTTTTGAAAAACAGGGTCTACCAGAGGCACTTGATAAGCATATGTTGAAAAAAAACTGATGAATACCATAAGAAAAATAAAACACCGTCCAATTCATGTCACAGAAGCTATATCTCAGAATGAACAAGAATTTTTTTTAAATGTTCAGAAAAAACAAAGCAACGTTTAACTTCTGATCATATCTAAAACAAAAGCCAACAAATGTCAGGCAAGCACAGCTATATGATCCCCATCTACACTATTAAACAGGAAGACTGCTAAGATGGCAAAGAGGGTAAAAAAAAAAAAAAGTTAGAATGAAAGGACTTAAATTCAAGTTGGATCAAGAGAATTTAAGAGCATCTGTGATTCCAAACCAGGCCAAGCGCCTTGGCCCAGGCGTATATCTTAGCAGGCGGAGGGAGTTGGCGTTTGTCAGTCAGCTTCCATCGCTGTGCTCTGAGGGCCTGCGCTGGACCCGAGCAGCGCCGGAGCAGCTGGAGCGGGGGAGGCGCAGTGGCTGTTGAGATGGGAAGTCTGAAGAAGTCAGGAAAGTGGGACATAGTCCCTCAGGGATAGGAATATGTGAAGGACAAGATTGAGACCGGGGCTACAACTACACACTCAACCTCACTCCAATCAAACAAGCTAGGACACAAACCAGATAGGATTGCTTTCACAGAACATGCTACAGCCATCTTTTTTTCCATATTCTCTCCAGCTGCTTCCTACTGGCCTCACCCACCTCACATGCCTTCTCTTGCCAGTGTTATCATAAACCATGTGTGCGATATTATAAGTCTATAGATCAGGTCTCAACTTCTAGGCCTCTGGCCAGCAGCACTGGCATTACCTGTGAGCTTTAAGACTGCAAATTCAAGCAAAAATCTCTGGTAATGAAGCCCAGCCAGGAATGTGTGTTTTAATAAATTATATTATAATTACCCGGACAGTTTAAGTTCAAGAACCACCATTTCAAAAGATTGGGCATATGTGGTAACCTGTGAGGACTCAGGCGTAGCCTATTAACCCTTTTGCCTACAGTGCCCCACCCCTTTTTAAAAAAATTCATATTCTCTGGAAAATACATTATATAAACAGCCCATAATGTAACTTGAGTATCTTAGTAAACTCAAAGTTAAGCTACATAACCATCATACCTACTGAACTGCTGGTGGGTTAGCACCAAGCCCTCCAGCCTGATGGAGAATCTCACATCACAGCTTCCAACCATGTTCTGAATTTTAAAATCGAGGAATCTGGCAGGGAAGCCAAGCTTCTGCACCACGCGGGCATACTTTCTCGCTGCAAGTCGAGACTGCTCTTCACTGGGGAGGGACAAATGTTTACAGATGTCTTAATGACTATGTCTTCTACTACTTGTGTTGTAGTCACTTTTCTGGTTGTATTCTTACCATTTGTACCGTGTTTATCTTTCAGTGTAGACTATGGAACTAGGCTCTGTGAGGACTTACCTCCCGTACTTCTGTCCCTAGCACCTTGTAAACGGTCTGGTACAATGGACAGTGGTTGAACTGAACCATAAACAAATTTGTCTTAATTTATCACCTTTCACATAGAAGTACTTTTTCCTTTAAGTGCTACTCGATAAAGTTATTCAACTGGTTCTCAAAGTGTGCCCTCACACCAGCAGCATCAGCTGGGGACTTGAGAGAAATGCAAAGCCCCAGGTTGTAGAGACTCTGCGGGTGGGGCCCAGCAGTCTGTTTTAACAAGCTCTCTAGGCAACTGTGATGCTCACAATATTTGAGAACCATCCATTTGGTCTCAAGGTGTGTGCCATTGAGATGGGAACAGCAGCAAAAATGACACATGCATACAAAAGAAATCCACATGAGGTAAGATATGTGCTGATCATGTGGCACAGACAAGATATCAGTTCTTAGGTCTTTATGGAACAAATTGTCCAAAACAATAATATTAAAATACCTAAAAACCTGCCTAGTTTTTCTCAGGTTTTTTCACACAATTGTCATTCAACTGATACCCAACATGAGAAAGAAAGGACATAGCCACAAAGTTGGATGAATTTCTTTAAGTGTTTGTCCTCCCTCCAACCCTAAATTCATGTTGGGGAATGTGAAGTCCTGAGATTTGAGGCTCCAATTTTTTTTTTTTTTTGAGACAGAGTCTCACTTTGTTGCCCAGGCTAGAGTGAGTGCCCTGGCGTCAGCCTAGCTCACAGTAACCTCAAACTCCTGGGCTCAAGCAATCCTCCTGCCTCAGCCTCCCAAGTAGCTGGGACTACAGGCATGTGCCACCAGGCCTGGCTAATTTTTTTCTATGTATTTTTAGTTGTCTAGCTAATTTCTTTCTATTTTTAGTAGAGACGGGGTCTCACTCTTGCTCAGGCTGGTTTCGAACTCCTAACCTTGAGCGATCCTCCCACCTTGGCCTCCCAGAGTGCTAGGATTACAAGCGTGAGCCACCGCGCCTGGCCAAGGCTCCATTTTTCATTAGATACTTTGCACCAGTTATTGCCAAAAGAGTACAATAAGTAGCAGGGGGTTCCACAGGGGCAACACCTGGTGAGTGATCAGGTGAATTTCACCCTCATGGGTTGTCCCAATTTTAAGTTGTAATCCAGAAACACCGAAAGAAAAGCCAGTTTAAACTTGTTTGCCCGGACCAAAGAAAGTGTGTGATTCTCTTATTTCAATCCTTCACAAACACTACTCCCTCTTCTCATGTGTATTAATTACATCATATATACTTCACCTCATTTAGTGTTGATTCTCCTCACCTACTTCTAACTCCTGAAATGTCCTTAGCAAGGCCATGTCCAAGTTAGCAGTGGAACTGTTTCCATTTTGAACTATATTTTGCCTAACTGACCCTATTTACCATAACAAATATATTCAAATTCCAAAGTTTGCATAGACCTGTACATTCTCAGGATATCAAGTTGATATCCTGAGAGAAACACAGAAGTTCCTATTGAAACAACTACTAGTTGAAAGTCTACATACATGTTCATCATGCAAACATTAGAAAATAGATTAAAAACCTTGAAATCTCAGAGGTGGCTTCATGCCTGTAATCCTAGCACTCCGGAAGCTGTGGCGGGAGGCTCGCTTGAGACCAGCCTAAGCAACATGGGGAGACCCTGTCTCTACAAAAAATTTTAAAAAGTTAGCTGGGTGTGGTGGCACGTGCCTATAGTACCAGCTACTCAGGAGGCTAAGGCAGCAGGATGACTTGATCCCAGGAGTTTGAGGTTGCAGTGGGTTATGATGCACCTGCATTCCAGCCTGGGTGACAGAGTGGTACCCTGTCTCAAAACAAAACAAAATCCTCCCCCAAACCCTTGAAATCTCACATTCAGGGGATGTTAACCACTTAATGTTGACCTTCTACACTTTTCCTCTGCAAACAGGTATTCCTCACTCTTGCTATTACAACTGAAGAAAAGGTTTGGATAAAGTTTTGGAGATAATACTGGTGACTCTTAATACCAGATTCTCACAACTCACTACAAATATATTTGGATAACAACTATCTCTTATTATCTGAACTCACTAACCAAGCTTTCACTATCTGATTTAGGGGACCAAATAAATTCAGATAGAGAAAGATACTCATGGATGTTTGCATAGTATGAGCATATTTTACAATGAAAGTTGGATAGTAAACCTGCAATTTAGTTTCCTGCTCCCATCCCATGCCAACGTAACAGCATGTGACCATCTTTCCAATGTATGTGTGCACATATATGGCTCATAAAATTTCACTTTATGATTTAAAAATCAAAATCTATTAGATATTTAATAAAAATATTTAGATATGTGGTTTTTCCCTGTTTTAAACAATGCTGAAATGAGCATGCTTGTAGACATATGCACAATTATCCAATAGTCACTAAAAATAGAGATTTCTGGGACCAGGGATCCAAAGATTAATAGAAGACAAAACCCAAAAGTTTACTCAGACACATGTCAAGAATTTAATATGTAAAAACTGGGAGGAAATATGTAAAACTGGGGGAAAATGGAGTAAGAATGGATTCTTCAATAAACATATCTGAACACTGACCAACCATGTTAAGAAAATTATCTTCTATTGAAATAAGATTCTCTGTCCAATTAAAGTAAAAATTCAGTCCCCTAGACATATTAGCTATATTTCAAATGCTGGATAGCCACATGTGACAAATAGCTACAAGAATAGATAAACATAGAACATTTCCATCATCTAGAGAAAGCTCTAGATGAATCAAAATATCAACTATACCAACTATCCTTTCCCCAATCTAAAGCAAGACTTAGAAAAGACAAGATATATGGAAGTCAATATTTGCTTAATATTATGTATGGAGAACGCCTAGGAATGAAATCAAACACAGAAACAAGCAAAAACTGAATAGAATGACTATACACAAAAAAATTTAAATTATGTTTAAGACACTATAAACAGAAATCTGGGAAAAATATATATAGTACAAAATGGTGAAAATACTGAAATACAAAAAAATGATAAAATGTTTGAGGTGATGGATATCCCAGTAACCCCAATTTGATTATTACACATTGTATGCCAGTATCAAACCATTACATGGGCCCCATAAATATATACAACTATTAGGTACCTGTAATAACTTAATTAAAAAAAATAAAACAAGCTACTAAAAGACAAATATCTCCATAGATTATTGGGTAAAAGACAAAGTAAGCTGTTAACATGCTCATGAAAAGTTATTTAGCTCCACTAGTAAATCAAATGTAAATTAAAAACTTTTGCCAATCAAATTAGCAAATATAAAAGAATATTGACACCCAGTGGTCAGAGGAGAAAGTGAATACCTAGATTTCTAGAGTGGGGAGAAATTGGCACAACCTTTCAGGAGGATGATTTGCTACTCATCTTTTAACACTGACAAGGAAGAACAGCTGTCCCCTGAAAGCTTTATGGTAAAAGAATGTATCTGAGCACAGGGCTTCCTCGGCATGAGATCCAGGCAAAAGTGAGCCTTTACATGGATGCTCTTGAGCTAATAGTCAAGAAATGTCTAATTTACCTCCTTTAGACAGTTCTAGCCATTTATCTGCAATAAGGAAAATCCACAATAACTACTTCCCCAGGCTTATAACATGCTTTAACATTACTGTAGTGTTTTGTTTTGTTTTTTGAGCCAGAGTCTCACTCTGTTGCCCTGGCTAGAGTGCTGTGGTGTCAGCCTAGCTCACAGCAACCTCAAATTCCTGGGCTCAAGCGATCCTTCTGCCTCAGCCTCCCGAGTAACTGGAACTACAGGCATGCGCCACCATGCCTAGCTAATTTTTCTATTTTTGGTAGACATGGGGTCTCGCTCTTGCTCAGGGTGGTCTCGAACTCCTGAGCTCAAATGATCCACTCACCTATGCCTCCCAGAGTGCTAGGATTACAGGCGTGAGTCACCTCACCTGGCCAATCATTACTGTAGCTTTAAAAAAATTTTTTTAAATCTTAAAAACAAGTCGTAACAGCCCAGTTAAGTGCCCTCAGTTTAGAAATGGCAACTGTAAAATATGGGATATAAATTAGTATCATAAAACAGTGTTTTTTAACCCCCAAATTTGACATTCCATGAAATTAACTCTTCAGAGGAAAAAAAAGTAATTTGTTTCTACCACATGCTTTAGGACATCAATGCTATGCTTGTTTTACACACTAAATTGTCTGGTAGGGATGGAAGGTGGTTCCTCATACCTTTTGGCTCCCGTGCAGACCATCTTCCCAGAGCTGAATATGAGGGCCGTTGTCCTGGGCTCACGGATCCTCATTATAACAGCAGCAAACCTCTAGACACAGAAGCCAAAAAGAGAATTGGCCTCTGCTAGCAGTTGACACTATTGCAGTTGAAAAGCAGAGATGGATATGGAGAAAGCTTGAAGATACTAAGATTGGATGGGGCAAGCAAATAATGTCTGGATTTATTCTCCCCTCATTTAGATTAATAAAATAACTATGATTCTAAAATGTACTTATTTATTTTATTAAAAATAAAACAAAATGAGGGGAGGACTGAGGATAGTGGACAATAAAATATGCTTAAAATGCTGATTGTTCAATAATGTGATCAATCATTGCTACAGCTATAAGAATCCTAGCTTGTCATTGTGTTTCTGTCCTCATCATAGCCAGCTACATGAAATATAAAAAGGAAAGCTATATTGTAGTATTCAGGTAACATTCTGGTAACATCTAAATTCAGATGTAGCAACACTACTACCACAAGAGCAAAAACAAATACTTCACCTGTAATTAGTTGACACTTGCAAGGTCTCTGGGTTCCTACTAGTGTAACCTTTCTTGTCTAATGCCATAAATCTCTACCACCTAAGCCAGTGAATTTTTTTCCCCTGTAGGAACCAGATCTTACTCATCTTTGTACTGCTAAGTACAGAGCAAGTGGCAAATCATTAAATGTTGATTGGATCACCAAATCCAATTGCCTTAAGTAAACAGGCCACTGAAAATGGGATGCCTGGCCTTGGCAGAACACAAAGAATAGGTTTTATTAAACTTTGAGGGGGAGAAAAATAATTCCTGAATCGTATGTTAGTAAGTAGAAGCTTGAACTTTAAACGGTTTAGCTTTCTCGAGAGAAACTGTAAATGGAAAAATACATGTGTCAGCTAGGTGGGAAAACATTTTTAAAAATGTCCAGAAATATGATGGTATTTTAATAAAGCTAGTATCTCAATAGTCAGGCTGAAAATAATCATACTGAAAAATCATCTTGAGTGAAAGGGAAAAACCTTAACTTTTACTCAATTACCACTTTATTCAGCATAGAGAATGAAATATTTTTTATAACTTCAAAACAGTGAGACAGTTAACCTTTTGAGTTGCCAGAAGCTTTTTTACTAACAGTTTTTTGGGAAAAACCCAAAAAGGAATGAGTCAATATCATGATCGTACGAAGGAAAGTAAATCTAAAGAGAAGCTAATTATTGTTGAAAGGAATACTGAAAAATCTTACCTTTGGGTTATATTCTGCATTTTTTGCATGCAAAGCTATTTTCTTCAGATCCAATTTACAGGCCAGGTTTACAGTGGAAACTATATTCCTGAAGAAATAAGTCAATTTAGAAAATTATATCAGATATAAAGAGTAAAAAAAAAAAAAAGACAAAAGCAACTTATTAATTTCCTCATTTCATAGGTTACACCTTAGCAATTTCCTAGGGGGAGAATTATTCCAAATGTGAATACATCGTAACATGAATGGTCCCTAGTAAAATGGAACATCTCAAAGTGAAGTACTAAAAACAGCCTTTTCTAAAATTTCATGACTAGCTAAAATTAAGTCTTAAATCTTTTTCAAAACAATGCTTCAAAATAGAAATCACAATCCTAAATCAATTTGCAAATCAAATTCAATTTTACATCTTTATATCTTCTGTGTTTATCCAACCCTAAACATAATTTTCAGCAACTTCAGTGCTTTAGTATAAACAATACAGTCTTCAAGTATGTGTCTGCTAATCCTTAACCCCTCCAGGGGATCAAGAATCAGTGCTTCAGCTGGGTGTGGTGGCTCATGCCTTTAACCCTAGCTCTCTGGGAGGCTGAGGCGGGAGGATCGCTCAAGATCAGGAGTTCGAAACCAGCCTGAGCAAGAACGAGATGACGTCTCTACTAAAAATAGAAAAATTGGCCAACTAAAAATACATAGAAAAAATTAGCTGGGCATGGTGGTGCACGCCTGTAGTCCCAGCTACTTGGGAGGCTGAGGCAGGAGGATTGCTTGAGCCCAGGAGTCTGAGCTTGCTGTGAGCTAGGCTGATACCACATTACTCTAGCCTGGGCAACAGAGTGAGACTCTGTCAAAAAAAAAAAAAAAAAAAGAAGAATCAGTGCTTCATTTTACAGAACACCAAACTGCCTAAAGCCACAATCCATTAAGAACTGATTAAACAAAGAATGAAATCTGAAATTCTCTTCCCTACACTATTATCCTGAAATTAGTTGTCATCGCATTCAGGAAAGTACAATGTGTACCCAGAAGCATTGCTTAATTGAAAAACCAAAACAAAACCAACAACTCACTGTAGTTGAGGCACAATTCCACAACATTCTGAAACAGGGGTCATCGGTGTCATGGGAGTTATGGACGCCAGAGGCAAGGAGTTGGAGTTTGGTTTCTCAGGAGAGGATTGGATTGAGTCAGCATCACCAAGGTGCAGATGAGAATGGGAATTGGACAAACTGCTGCTGTCTAGGCTGGGCCCAACATCCTGTCCACTGGGTAATGGCAACCTACTTTGTTGACTTTGAGCTTCACAATTTTCTTCAATTTCATGCTTGCTTCTAATGACAGCTTGGTCTTTATTTTCTTGGGTAAGTTCATCTGGTAGGAAGCTAAGATCCACAGATGAGAAATCTCCAGATGTTTCTTTGGATTCATGATGAGAATTAAACGTAGTCTCTGGATTGGATGGATGAGGAGTGTACACATAAGGTACAACCGGGCTGAACAGGGGAGACCTGGGTGGGACAAGGTCATCCTAGGCAGTTCCCAAAACAGAAAAAAACAACAACAAAAAAACCCACAGTAAACAGAGCAGCATGTTACACCAAAGGGATACTACTATGGTAGGCAGGCAGTGTGTTCTGTTTAAGAAGCAGTTCAAGATTGCTTATATTTATGCCCTGCCTCATTAAGATCCTATAACAGAGTTACGACACACTTAAGCAAAATATATCTTAAAATGCAGAAAAAACATTTTTCATAAAACATCTTACCTACTTTAGTTAGATCCCTAGTAAGTTGCCACTTTTTCAATCCCATTTTTTTTTTTTTTTTTGAGACAGAGTCTCACTTTGTTGCCTAGGCTAGAGTGAGTGCCGTGGCGTCAGCCTAGCTCACAGCAACCTCAATCTCCTGGGCTCAAGCGATCCTCCTGCCTCAGCCTCCCGAGTAGCTGGGACTACAGGCACGCGCCACCATGCCCAGCTAATTTTCTCTATATATATTAGTGGCAATTAATTTCTTTCTATTTATAGTAGAGACGGGTCTCACTCTTGCTCAGGCTGGTTTAATCCTGACCTCAGGCAATCCGCCCGCCTCGGCCTCCCAGAGAGCTAGGATTACAGGCGTGAGCCACCGCGCCCGGCCTTCAATCCCATTTTTTAATAGAGGCAGCTCAGCAACTGTGCGCTAATCTTTTTTTAGACAGAGTCTTGCTTGTTGCTTGGGCTAGACCATGGCATCAGCCTAGCTCACAGCAACCTCAAACTCCTGGGTTCAATCAATCCTCTTGCCTCAGTCTCCCCAGTAGCTGGGACTACAGGTGAGCACCACCACACTCAGCTAATTATTTCTATTTTTAGTAGAGACAGGGTCTCGCTCTTGCTCAGGCTGGTCCTGAACTCCTGACCTCAAGTGATCCTCTGGCTTCAGCCTCCCAGCGTGCTAGGATTATAGGCGTGAGCCACCTCACCTGGCCTGTGCTCTAAATCTTGTATACTTCGAAGAGACTAGATTGTATACTTGTATACTTTGAAGAGACTAGATTTACCATACTCTTTAATTATAAACTTTAGTTGACATAAACAACTCTTAGAGTTTCAAATTTACAGTTTAAAGAGAATAAGTGATGAAAGTTTAACATCATTTTTTTTGAGACAGAGTCTTGCTTTGTTGCCCAGGCTGGAGTGAGTGCCGTGGGTAGCCTAGCTCACAGCAACCTCCAACTTCTGGGCTCAAGCAATCCTTCTGCCTCAGCTTCCTGAGTAGCTGGTACTACAGGCATGTGCCACCATGCCCAGATAATTTTTTCTATATATACTAGTTGACCAATTAATTTCTTTCTATTTATAGTAGAGATGGCATCTTGTTCTTGCTCAGGCTGGTTTCGAACTCCTGATCTCGAGCAATGTTTGAGGAGTTTAAGACCAGCCTAAGCAGAAATGAGACCCATCCCTACTAAAAATAGAGAAATTAGCCAGGTGTCCTAGCAAACACCTGAAGTCCCAGCTACTCAAGGCTGAGGCAGGAGGATTGCTTGAGCCCTGGAGTTTGAAGTTGCAGTGAGCTATGATAACACCACTGCACTATAACCAGGGCGACAGACCAAGTCTCTGTCTCAAAAAGCAAAACAAAACCCAACACCAACAAAAACCAAAACAAAACCCCCACAAAACCAAAACTCTATAAATTAAAATACAAAAGAAAGATCAATTTGTTTTTTTAAAATTTTTTTAAAAAGAACATTCTAGTTACATGAATTGACAATAGGAAAATGTTATTGAAATTTTATTGGCAAGAATACTTTAAATCAGTGCATTGTATTCCCAGTCCAGGGAAGGCTGCTCAACTACCATTAGCTAGTGACTGAGGGAACAAGGTGTGCACCTGCGGGAAGCAGCTAATGTGAAATTCCTGTGCTTTATGGGGGGTGGAATTGAATACCTTACATACATCACCACCTGCTTCGCCCAAGTTGCAGGCCTAGATTCCAGAGTTTGAGCAGTGCTTACAGGATAACTTCAATAGATCTTTCTTTACTTCTGACAACTGAACGATCACAAATGCATCGTACTACATCTTCTCAGTGGCAAAACTACCTCCTCTAACATATACTGTCTGGCTAGATCCTATTGAATTGTTCTGTTATCACAAGCCCAGTGGTTGGCAGGGGTGAATAATTGTTTAAAGAAAACACTTAGAAAAACGAAGCTACTCTCTTGAAATAAGATTTTTACCTCTGCCTCATTTTGAATACTTAATGAGCCCCCATCTCTCCCCACCTGCAGCTTCCCCCATACCCCAAGAAAAGGGAGATGGGAACAACGGGCCCCGATTCCTTTCCTGGCTTCCTTGGCCTCTCCTGCCCTAGGTGGGAAGGATTTCATCGGCCACTTTACTCTACTGAGCACCCAGATCTGCAACAACCGGTGTGGCCTTCCCTTTCGCTTCACGGCATTTTAGCAGGGGACACAGCTCTCACCCAAGGAAACTAAACTTCAACAAAGAATTAAAAGCGATGGCAATGACATGTTGAAGGGGGATGTCTTGTGGCAATGGAAACCCGACAGCCCCCTTGCTGAGTTTACCTGTAGGAACACATCTCAGGGGATGTAGCTGTAGTTGTTCACTACATCCTTAGCCTCGTATCTGAAGACATTTCATGTTAAACAGTTTTTGCAGAACCATCAACTTATCTTCCTCAGAACCTTTCCTGGCACGGGCCTCTCCTTCCCTACATTCAATGCTACTGAACATCATCACTCTTCTACCTCAGCACCAATCATTGAATTTTTTAAAAAATCCCCCACAAAAAAGTTGATCTCTTGTTTTTTTGAGTAAAGTATTGTGGCAAACAGTCCTCCAGCTACAGTGCAGTGGCATCATCATAGCTCACAATAACCACGAACTCCTGGGCTGAAGAGATCCTCCCACTTCAGCCTCCAGAGTAGCTGGGACTACAGGCCCACGCCACCACTCCCAGCTGACTTTGCTATTTTTTATAGAGACGGGGTCTCACTCTTGCTCAGTCTGGTCTTGAACTCCTGACCTCAAGCCATCCTCTGACCTCGGTGTCACAGAGTGCCAAGATTACAGGCCTGAGCCACCGCACCCCGCCTTCAAGATTTTTTAAGCTAAAAAAATCTTAATTAACTGAAAGGAGCCACAGGTGTTTCCGGTTCACATTTTGGCAAACGCCGTGACCCCCAACGCCACCAGAGACTTTCTCCAGGCCTACTGTTGGTATCAAAGCTGCAGGCGACACTGAGTCCGCATCTGCCCTGGCAAGGCAGAGGCCAGCTGGAACCCGGTGTCACACAGCAAGGGCACAGCGACCTCTCGGTGAGAGTCCCTTTAGAATCGGTCAGGGGCCTCTAACCTGGTGTCTAAGAGCACGCTTCTGGATTCACGCTAGACCAGGTTCAAGGGCGACCTTGGGCAAATTATTTCACTTTTGGAAACTTCTAACATCCAACTGAAACGTGGATAAACCAAGCCCACCTGTTAAGGTTGTTATGAATTTTAATAAAGGTAACAGTGACACAGCCCTTGGCGCTCAGCAGTTGGGCAGGAACCGGGGTGTGGACTGACGCTGGGACAGTGGCTGCAGCGTCCAGGCTCACCTGGACGGCGCACTGGTCCAGGTAGAGTTCCAGGTACGTCTCCTCGTCCATGGGCAAAGGTCCCGCCGTCGGGGTTGGGGACGGCCCAGTTGAGCAAGCAGCCTCTAGCGAGCGGTCTGGAAGGCCGGAGGGGCGCGGAAGGCATTTATCAGCCCCACGCGGGGCGGGTCCGCGCTGCAGCCCACGGCGCGCGTGGGAGGTGGGACGCAGAGCTCAGCCCCGCCCGCGGGCGCTAGGAAAGCGGTGCTGGGGTGGGGTGGGGAGGGGAGGGAAGGGGCTCCTAGCTGGGGTGCCCTCAGTCATCCCACTCCGCCCACCACTAGCAAGCGCCTGGCCTGGAAATCTGCAAATTTCCTTCGCTATCTCCAAATGCAGCGTTTGCTTCCAGAAGGTCTCGGTGCAAGTAGCGTGAAAAGTAAGAGCATTGGACAATGAGAAAATAAAGATTTTTTTTTTTTTGCTTTTGCTTTAAGAGAATTGTTCTTTCTTCTGAGCAGAGCGAGCTGAGGCCACTTACTTAGGCAGGTGTGGTAGTTTTATGTTATCATTACTTCTTGCCTCCAAATCCCAGGAAGTTTTTATCCAGTCACAGAGAATTCAATCTGAAGCCACATGCAAAACGGTGTGTTGCCGCACAGTTATGGTTGAGGCAGCTCAGGAAAGAGCACAAAATCGATTATTCAGAGAGGTTTTCTCTTTCTTGAAATCATTATTTTAATTTTCAATATCTCTGCTTTCATAAAAGCTTAACTGTGCAGAATGGTTCTATAAATATAATTGACACTTTAAGATATTTCAAAATGTACATGGAGACACACACATAAATTGTCTTTCCTACTATGTTATACTAAGAGCAAAAATTTTGATTGCTCATCTTAGTGTCTCTGTACCAAGCTCATCTGCTCAATAAAACTTAACGGGTGAAGGAAACTGCCCTCCGAATGGATCATGGGAAGCACATTCTAGCAGAGACAGATCACAAGACAAATCTTGGAGAACGTGGAGCCCCAGGAGCAGCAACGATGGGCGACCACAGCCTAGAGAAGTTCGTTGGCACCGAGGTGGCCCCCAGGGTGCAGTGAGCAGGCCTCAGGGTAGCTGGTGCTGGCTCAGGGACTCCTGGAAGGCCGCCCACCAGCAGGGCAGGCGACCAGGCGGAGAGGCAGGACGTGGCGAGCTGTTTCTGCTGTCCTCTGGCCTGCCAGGGCACCAGGAACGGGGAGCAGCTAGTGGACCAGCTCATCCATGACCTGGTGAGTGACCATCGCCTCCTGCCAAGGCCAGAGCTGGCCCCTCACCCCAGGTACAAATCTCCGCAGTTAGTTGGAAGGTAACTCTTTGTGCTACCAATTGTCAAACTGAGTAGACATACACCTGTGTTTGTGCATGCACAGGTTATCTCTGGAAGCAGTGGTTCTAAACGGGGGGCAATTTAGTCCCCCAGATTTTGCAGTGTCTGAAGATATTTTTGGGAATCTCAGCGGGTGTGTGCACATGTGTGTTACTGGGCGTGTAGTAGGTAGAGGTTGAGGTGCTCGTGAACATCCTACAATGCACAGGGCAGCACACACACAAAAAATTTGCAGCTCAAATGTCAATAAGTTTGAAGTTGATAAAGCCTGCTCTTGGAGGATAAACTTTTAACAAAGGTTGCCTTTGAAGAGGACCCAGGTAATGGATAGAAAGGAATTTTAACTTTTTTTGTATACTGTTTGTACTGCTTAATTTTTCTAACTGCCTGTATTAAAAGGCAGTAAAAAGGGAAGAAGAGGAGGAAAAATCCTTTGGGCACTATCATTAGGATGGAGTTTCTTATCTTTTTGTGAGGGTGTGGATCCCTCGGAGAATCTGGAGGAAGCTGAGGAGGACTCTTGGTTAAAAATAGTCCCCTTCACAAAGTTGGAAGAATCAAGATCACCTGAAATGCATTCATGGCTCCCAGGTTAAGAGTTTGGACAAGACAGCTGGTTTGAATAGCTCAATGCAGCTTTCCAATTGGGGATAATTCTTAAGTGGCAAGTTGTTTCAAGGAATAATGGCTTATTTTATGTAATACATGGTTCTATGTAACAATAGCTACTATTTGAGTTTTTACCAAGTGTCTGGTCCTGTGCTCTGTCTTAATTCTAACACAGCAATTCTGTGAGGTAGGTTTTAACTCTCCTTTTACAAATGAAGCAACTCAAAGTGGCTTCCTGTCATTTGCCCATGGTTATCCAGCTGATAAAATTCTGGGGATTGAATTTGGATCCAGGTCTTTTGGACTCCAAATTTCACTAAGTGAAACTTGAGTGGGCATAAAGATCACCTGAGGCCTTGTTAAAGCACAGGTTCTGGGCCCTCCCCAGACCTGCTGACTCAATTGCCAGGGGAGGGGTCCAGAAATCTGATTGGAATGATCTGGCAAGTTTGAGACACTGTACTGAACTGTCTGGCCTCCTGTGGTTTAAGATCCTCAGTCTCAAGACATTTCAGCCCTAACACTTCTGAGGGAGGCACTGATACCAAAAATAGTGAAGTAAATCAAGTACAGTTGACCCTTGAACAATGTGAGGGTTAGGGGTGCTGACACCCCCGCCCCACACACAGTCGAAAACTGCATATAACTCTTGACTCCTCCAAAACTTAACTAATAGCCTACTGTTGACGAGGAACCTTAGTGATGACACAAACTGTTGGTTAACACATATTTTGTATGTTATATGTATTATATACAGTATTTTTACAATAAAGTAAGCTAGAGAAAAGAAAATCATGAGAAAATATATTGACGATCCATTAAATGGAAGCGGCTCATCGCAAAAGTTATCATCTTTGTCATCTTCATGTTGAGTAGGCTGAGGAGGAGGGATTGGTCTTGCTGTCTCCGGGTGGGAGAGGAGGCTCTCAGATACAGATAACTTTTATTGGAAAAAACTTGCATGTAAGTGGACCAGTGCAGTTCAAACCCATGTTCAAGGGTCAACTGTTTTCTAAAAATGAAGGGGACCTGCCTGCTGGAGGATTCAGGGGCACATCAAAATCTAAGTTTCATGTGTAGTTGGAAAAAGCCTGCACTGTCTCTTTTCTTTTCTTTTTTTTTTTTGTTTTTTCTTTTTATATCAAATATTTTCCAACAAATGCACTGTCTTTTTTCTTGGAAAAACATTTCCATAGTCTCTGCCCCCTTTGGAATCACCATATTTGGTACTTCTAGGCTGAACTACGAGCAGTATCTAAACTTTGGGACACTTCTAATTTTTTAAAATACTTTGTAATCATCAGTAATACTGCTATAAATTAATTCATTAAAAATCTTATAGGCCAGGCGTGGTGGCTCACACCTGTAATCCTAGCACTCTGGAAGGCTGAAGTGGTTAGATCATTTGAGCTCAGGAGTTCGAGACCAGTTCTGAGCAAGAGCAAGACCCTATCTCTACTGAAAAAAAAATAGAAAGAAATTAGCTGGACAACTAATATATATATATATATATATACAACATATATACATATATATGTGTATATATATTATATTATATATAGATATATATATATATATTTTTTTAGCAGAGAATAATGGTGCATGCCTATAGTCCCAGTTACTCAGGAAGCTGAGGCAGGAGAATTGCTTGAGCCCAGGAGTTTGAGGTTGCTGTGAGCTAGGCTGATGCCATGGCACTTTCGCCCAGGCAACAGAGTGAGACTCTGTCTCAAAAAAAAATCTTATGGCCGGGCGCGGTGGCTCACGCCTGTAATCCTAGCTCTCTGGGAGGCCGAGGCGGGAGGATTGCCTGAGGTCAGGAGTTCGAAACCAGCCTGAGCAAGAGCGAGACCCCGTCTCTACTATAAATAGAAAGAAATTAATTGGCCAACTAATATATACAAAAAATTAGCCGGGCATGGTGGCACATGCCTGTAGTCCCAGCTACTTGGGAGGCTGAGGCAGGAGGATTGCTTGAGCCCAGGAGTTTGAGGTTGCTGTGAGCTAGGCTGATGCCACGGCACTCACTCTAGCCTGGGCAACAAAGCGAGACTCTCTCAAAAAAAAAAAAAAAAATCTTATGAATTTCTAATCAAGAATAAAGGAAACATTTTGGTAAAGCTGGAATTTTATATAATGTTTTATAGTAGTATTTAATGATTTATATGAGATAGCCTACAAAAATTTTTTTAGCATAGTACCTGCTTAATAGCTCAATAAATGTTAGCTCTCAATTTTGTTATTAGACTGTTATGGGCTGAATCGGGTCCCCCAGAATTCATATGTTGAAACTTTAATCCAATCTGACTGTTGTCCTTATGAGAAAAGGAAATTTGGGCACACAGACATCAGGGATGTGTACACCCAGAGAAAAAGGCCATGTGAGGGTAAGGGGAGAAGGCAGCCATCTGCAAGTGAAGAAGAGAGGCCTCAGGAGACACCAAACCTACTGACACCTTGAGCTTGGATGTCCAGCCTCCAGAATGGTCAGAAAATAAATGTCTGTTGTTTCAGCCACCCAGCCTATGGTATTTTATGGCAGCCCTAGCAGACTAATACATACACTTGTAAAGTATCTTATATCTGAGATGGCCCCCCAAATCCCTGTCCCTGGCATATACATACCTTCTTCCAGTTATGCAAGCACTAATATAGGTGCTGCTGTGAAGGGACTTTGCAGATATAATTAAGGTCCCAAATCAGTTGACTTTAAGAAAGAGACATGATCCTGGCTGAGCCTGACGTGATCAGGTGAGTCCTTAAAAGGAACTGGCTGTTCTTTGGGAGGGAGAGTGAAAGTCTGAGACAGATCTTCCAGGAGGGAGAGTCTTCATCGCTGGATTTAAGTAACATTGCAAGGAATGTGGGTGACTTCTAGGAGCTGAGAGTGGCCCACATTTGACAACCAGCAAGGAAATGGGGACCTGAGTCCCATAACTGCCAGGAACTGAATTTGGCCATCAGTAATGAATAAGCTTGGAAGTGGATTCTTCCCAGTGTTTCCAGAAAGGAGTTCAGCCTGGACAATACCTTTAGTTTAGCCTTATAAAGACTGCAAGCAGAGAAGCTGGCCATGCTGTGCCGAGACTTCTAACCTACATTACTGTGAGCTTATAAA